TATGGTTGGATACGAACTGGGCCCTGTGTTCTTCCAGGGAGGGGGGAGAGCCTACCATAGGGACATGGGACAAAATCATCCGTAAGTATTCTCACGCGTTGGTGTCAATGTGCATATGCACACACATACAGGCATGCTTACGTATATACAGACACATACACACACTGGTGCTCCCCCATGAGCAAAGGGATGTTCCCCCCATCGTGGCGTTCCCGGCACGTTTTTATTTTACATTATCTCTCCTCTTGCTGAGTTCTACATGACGACAACAGAGTCTCGCAGTTGTTGGTAAAGATGATCACTGTGTCGGTTACTTCTTCTCTTTATTCAGCTGGGGGCGAAAAAAAAAAAAAAAAAAGTACAAAATAAAAGACATGTAGTAACTGGGAGGATAGAAGGAAGATGGAAATACGCCAGCACTGCGTGCTTGACGCCACCAAAAGTTAACTTACCATGTCGTTCACGCGGTAGTACATTAAGATGGCACCCGGTTTGAGGAAGAGTTGATAGGAGGAGTACGTGGCCTCCACGGCTAAGAAGGCCAGCAGGGCTCTTCGGATAACAGGGAGACACACCGTTCCACAGCCGTACGACATTTTTGCAGTGTTCCGATTGGGGGGACGAATGTGTTTCCTTATGAGGATGGATGGGCTGCCTCCTCGTTTGGTAAGGATAAACCTCTGCCGAAAAAAAAAAAGGATAAGCGCCGGTTACGCGCGTGGACGATGCGTGTGTGGCACTGGAGTAGCTCTGCTTCCTTTAATTTGAATTCCTTTGGAGCGACGGGCATGTAACTTGAAGGGTACGAAAAACTCGGTTGGGTGAGGTTCCTCTAATGGGTGACTTATTCGGGGGCTGGTCGAGTGGGCGGTGTCTCTGGATCATTGGCCGAATCACCGGGCGTTCCTTATGGCGCGAGCGTGAGAAAGTTGTTGCCGCGTTGGCAGGAAAAATTGGCCATATGGAAGACTCGCGAATGGGATATGATATATCTTAAGTCGTTGTGTTTTTCCCTTTGCGCAGTATTAACTTAACGTAGCGTGACCTAGTTTAACCTGACATTACCGAATTTATTTTTTTTTTTTTATTCTTTTTTTTCTTTTTTATTTTATCTTTATTTTTTTTTTTTCTTCACCCGCGTGGCACCAATTTTCCGCTGCCCTCTTTCCACTTGCCTCTCAACCACAGTGCCCCTTTTTTTTTTTTTTTTTTTTAACTGCACATGGTTCTCACGGGAATAATTGGTCCTCCCAAAAAAGATAAAAAAAGGGGATCTCCAGAAATGAGTCTTGACCCCATGATACATCGCCACTTTGCAAAAAAAGATCAAACAGAGCAGGAGCAACTGATGCAGAGGGCCCTTGCCTTCCCTCACTTTTTGCTAAGCGACTCAACTGGGGGGCGGTTAAACCATTTGGCGCACTATGTCCGCGCGAAGAAAATGGTCTACACGCTTGGCGGGCAGCCAGACAGAAGAAAAGGAGCGCCCCAACCCACCATCGCTTCATTGTACCACTCGGTGTGGAAACATTTGGAGAAGTTCTAGGATGCCACTCTCGCGGCAGGAACGGTGAAAAAAGCAGACAGTTCCTATCTCACTGGATAGGGAAAAATCCCTTTCATCCGATGGAGACACGTAACTCGACAGGTGATTCACAGAAAGGGCCGTTGGGGATGGGGTGCCCCCAAGTGCATACCATTTTGTGAAAGAATTTTTTTTTGGGGGTATTTTTACCTCTTGTCTGCCTAAACTAATGTTAAAGTGTGAAAAGAAAAAAAAAAAAAACTATCCAAGGGATCCCCACCCACCCCGGGGGAGTACGTCCGACGGATGCTCATACCCCCATGTGCCGTACACATGTCTGTATGCACGTGCATCGGCAAAGCGCAGCTGTCCCGCTTCGGGGTGTAACAGGTCGCATGCTCGGTTGTCCCTGCGCGCAAGTGTGCGCGTACCTCCCCTGTGCAGTGATTGTGAAATTTTTTTGCTCCCAAGTTGTCTGTCCATGCGCCTAACGCGGGTCATCGCTGGGTGCACCAATTGGTAAAAGAAGAAGAAAAAAAAAAAAAAGACGCAAAGGAAAGGCGAAAAGGAAAGACAAAAAGGACGAAATAGACCAAATAGAACAAATAGACCAAACAGTCGAACCAGGTGGTAACAACGCGAAGACGCATTCTCCCATCTCGCATCACCATTGCACAACTGCTCAATCCAGGAGGGGTGCAGCAGAAACGCGAAAAAAAAAAAAAAAGAAACGAACGCAGTTGGCGCAGTAGTCGAAATAAACCGGATTGTATGCATAGGCGGAATAAGAGGAGAAAAAAGAAAAAAAAAAAAATAAAACTGTCTACGTCTGTGTGCACATTGGTGTAGGAGAAGGTGGCAGCTACGTTTACCCAGAAGTGACAGAACAGAAAACTAAGCGAGTGAACACCTCAATGCACTTACATCCCTAAGGAGGTCCACGTGCCAGGAAGCGTACACCTACACAGACACACGAATGGTTCAGTTGGACTGACTGGTAGAGGTTCCCTCGTCATATAAATAACCAACCTGTCGCATACGCATCTAGCAATAGGCTAACCGGCAGGGAAGGCGGCATGTGTGCACTGTCACACACGCATTCATTCGTCCACCGAATAAAAGACAGCTACGTTTTTAAGTATTCCCACACTCGTCCCATTTTGTGTCACCCACGTTCATCATGCTGAAGTATGTGTTGTTCCTTTGCGCGACATTCGCGTATGTCCCCCTGGGAATAGAAAGTAAGGCTGCAGCATAGCCCTCAACGCTGCATACGTATCTCCGTGAGGGTGGCCACTTCGGATGCCGGAGGACGCATCCCCAGCAGTCTATCTGTCCACCTCTCAACAGGGCTACCCCAACGCCTGAACCCTAAACCGTGAACCCTAAACCGTGAACCCTAAACCTGCTACCCCTGCACCCGAAGTCTTAACATGGCTACCCATGCACCTTTAACCGGTCCCACCCCCGCGAAACTTTCCCTTGCAGGCAGATTCTTCGAAAATGTATTCACACCGAAATTACGAATCGGCCGGCACCCAATAAAAAAAAATGTACAACATGGGGGCAGAAACATAAGTAAGTTGCCTCCACGAGGGATCGAAGTGGCGAAGCATGCAATGGACAAACAGAGAGTGGAGAAACAGAGATTAGACAAACAGAATGTGCACGAAGAGAGATATTTCCCTAAAGTGCTCCCTGCTAATCGTGTCTGTTGCGGTGCGCTGCACACTCAGCACTCACTCTTACCCCTCCCCACCCATCCATACAGCACATGCAGGCGTCGACAGGCTCGAGAAGAATATCATGAAAAATGTTGACTCTATAAACGTAATGTTCGACCCCAACCATAAAAAATTCGTCCCGTCCAGATCAAGGAAGGCCCACATAGTTGGTTCGTTGGAGGGAAGCACAGCGCGTTGATAGGAGCAGCGTGGCTAACGGGGGAGCGAGTGACACAGTTTGCAGCATAGTGGCTACCATAGTGGCTAGCATACCGACTACCATACTGCCTATCATAGGGAACGATCTATGCACGCACGCTTCCAACCCGTTCGGGGGGACCTCGACGAGGAGATAATCATGCCGCGTTAATTCTCCCTCCTTTTTTTTTTTTTTTTTTCCTTTTTTTTCCCCCTGGCCGCTCCCCCTTGCAGGAGGTTTTAGTCAGAACACGTCTGACCCGTCAGGTACGTAGGAGGGGCAGTCCACCGGGCGGCACAATCATTTCCCCACATGATGCCGCAAAAAGGGGACAAGAGCCAACCGTGAACCGTGAACAATGCACCATACACACACATAGACGCATAGACACACACTACTCTAAAACACACTGCTTCTATTCAGAGCCACCTTCTCGCATTACCATCCCCAATTTCGTCTCACTCATCCTGCCCACACCTCACCACTCCCTGCACCGAAACTACCACAGATGTTGAAAGGAGCAAATACGAGAAGGGTAACTCAACCCGGCAAAGACGGAGTAGCTGAGCGGAAGGAGACGCCGCAATGCGCCTCAATCCGCCGCCAACCTAGGATGAGAACGTAACCGATCGAATGACTTCCCTCTCCCCCTTATGACATCACCCCTACGACATTACTCCTACTACAGCCCTCCGTTTTCTAGAAAAACTAAACAGTGAGATGACTGTCTACTCGAGTAAAGTTACACAAGAATTAGACAACCAGGAATACAAAACTTTGGTTAGCTTTAATCGTGCCTCCAGTCTTCTGAAGGAATCTCTAGCCACCATGCATTCTCTTGACGCGATTAAGAATGACAAAACTGTCGATTTTACCAGTAAGTTTAGGGTTCCCCTCATGGGGGGACGCATTCGCGAAGAAGCGTCAAACAGGCGAACAGCCAAGCGGTCCAAGACACTCCTGAATCGACACAGTGTGGTGAAAGGACAACGCTCCCGATTGTTCGGGATTACTGGACCACCTCTTTTCTGTTTTTTCATTCGCCACCCCCCCCCCCTCTCAGAATACAACCTGGATTGGTACAGCAAGGCATCCCTAAAGGAGAAGTACGAGACTGAGAAACGTAAGATGATAAGGGGGGAGGAAAAAGGAGGAAGTAATGCATAAGTGGCACAAAATGGCCTTTCCAATGTGGAACATGCTGCCAAACGCTGGTGATCCCTAACAGACGGTGCATAACGACTCTCTGTGCATAACAACTCTCCATGCTTCGCTCCACCCTTCCCACTGCAGACATCCACAGGATAATGAATAAGCTCTTCTTGAAAGCGCGAAACAAGAAAAAAAACGCTCAGAGGAAGGAAATAGGTACTCCCCCTGGTTTAGCGGCTACCTGCTCGATACATCGCTTCAACGGTTCAGTTACTTGCTGATTTACTCACCTACTCATTTATTCTTTCACCCCTTCCTTCCCCTCAGATGAGAACATCGAGAAGCTGGAGAACGACCTACTGATGCAGCGATTTGTGAGCGAGAACATGAACGGTAACCGCGAGGGGGACAGTACATGGACGTAAGGGGAAAGGCTCCCCACAGCTTGTCTTACGTACCCTCCATGGAGATATGCAGGGGGCGATAATGGCCACACTGATGGATGCACACACGGATACATACACATCTATACTCATCGCTGCTCTCGCGGCTGCTCCCCCCTGACTGCATCCCATGTTTTGTCTCCCCCCACTCTCGCAGCGACGAAGCTGCTGAAGGAGCATCAAGGGAATTCCTCCGATTATATGGCCCCTATGCACTCGGATGTCTGTGGGCAATTGGGTTAGTCTCGATGGGAGCTCCCCAAAGGAGGGAAGAAGCGAACAGCTTCACTCACCTGAAGGTGCAGCCACGGCGTGGTGTCAGCGCAATTCTACCACACAGAGGTACACACATATATACAGACACATGCAAACACACACGCACACACCTCCTGCAGGGAGCATATTCCTAAGCTTCATGTTTGAAAGGCTATTTAAGACAGCAATGACACAGGACATCGGCCACTTCAAGCAGTACTTGCCTCGTCTCAAGCACAGGATTCACAATATGGTCCAAAAGGGTAACCTATACGGCGTTGCCACGTCGACATAGGCACACGTGCGTGAGGGTGACTCCACAAGGAGGTGCTAAGAGGTGCTAAGAGGTGTTAAGAGGTCCCAAGACGACGCTCCGGTCGAAGTCACGACATGGTGTTGCTATTTCTTCTTCCCCACGACAGGCACGCTCATCCTGCTGGAGAAGGGCCTCGACGAAGCTCTGCACACATTCAAGCTCAAGGTGGCGGAGCTAATGGATAAAAGTAACCCATCAGTGGAAGCAGCGACGGGAGAGATGTGCGTCTGTTGCGCTGTGGATTTGTTTATACGGCTTGGTGGTTATGGCTTCACTGCCACCGCTTGATGGCCACCGCTTGATCGCTACCCCTTCGACGCTACTCCGTGACGTCCCCCACCCCTTCCCACCATCGCAGAGTTCGGATTTGTCGACATGTGCTCAAAAAAATGCGTCGTCGATACGGTTAGCGCAAACTACGACTTGGAGGAATACAAGAATGATTTTAAACCCACGAGCACCGCTCAGAGGAGAGCTGACAGTAAGGAGGGCACACAGCTATATGTGGAAGGGGGGTGGATGGGAGGGACCCACGTCCTTGTCCCCCGCCCCACGCGCAATCGGGCCTGCGCCTGTTATGTGTGCATTGGGTGAGCAGTCAGTATGTCCTATGCGTCTCGTCTGCGTGTGTTTACCGTCTCTTTACCGTGTCCTCACCGCCCCTCCCCCCCCAGTGGTAAAGATGCTAATGTACTACTACCGAGACAAGCTGAACAATATCGAGACGACAGCCGACTTTGTTCTGATTATGCTGCTTTACCTGAACTCGGCCACGGAGCACACGGAGAAGGGATTAATCGACGTGAGCTCCATCAGCACCACGGACAAGTTTAACCTGATCAACAGGACCATTGAGAAGGGGAAGAAGGTGAGCACAGAGGGGCATCTCCTTGGAGCGGCGTGGCAGCGGCGTAGAGGCGGCCTTGAAGCAGTGTTGAAATGGTGCCCCGTCGCGACCGCCGCGTACATACACCGCCGCATACTACACCTCCGCATACCTACACCGCCACATACATATAGGTGAAAGAGGACAAGAAGAAGAACTTCCTGAAGATTGCCCCCTTCAACTTCTTCAGAGAAGAGACAAGCGAAAAGTATGGAAATGAATCCATCTTTGCCATCGATGATATCATGAAAACGTGTCTTCTGGCGAAGAAGTCTCAGAATTTTAGCTCCCTCTACGAGACGTCCAAGGAAGTATGGAATAACCTTCAGAGCATCTACTCCGCCTCCTATGGATTCGTTGCATCGAAGAAGCTAAAGACAAGCAGATTCGTCAACGCTCGGATCAGAAACGTCGGCTTCGTCTTTAACTGGTTTAACTATAATATGAAGCCCACTAAGCATGTGAACTTCCTCGTGCAGAATTTTTCTCCCCTCCTTTCTGTGAGCTTGCAATTGAGTAAGTCTGTGCAGGGGGAGGCAGGGATACACACCAGTGGGAGAAATATCCCAGGAATTGGTGGACCTCCTTGCCGGATAAGAGGCCTCAACTACAACCAAATTTTATACGCGTTAAGTTGTCAACCCTAGTGCTTCCCCCTCTCAACTGCTTCCCCCTCTCAACTGCTTCCCCCTCTCAACTGCTTCCCCCTCTCAACTGCTTCCCCCTCTCAACTGCTACCCCTCTCAACTGCTTTCCCCTCTCAACTGCTTTCCCCTCTCAACTGCTTTCCCCTCTCAACTTCTCCCCCCCCACAGCCTTCTTCATCAGTACGATGATCGAGCAGTACGAGTCCAGCTTCCTGAGTAACTTCTCCTCGGTGTTGAAAAAGATATTCACTTTGGGGGCCAGCTCAGCGCACCCAAAGAATTACGGCGACCTCGTGAGTTTCTCTGAAACAGATTATCTGTTGAGGCATTCAAAGGGAGACAAGGCACAGAGGATAATCACACAGACAGTAACTATGTTTAAGAAAAAGTTTCTCTCTATTCCATACACACCTACTCTTCTGGCCCAGTACATCTCACTCTTCCTATCCCTATGGGTCTTCGAAAATGAGAAAAGCATAACCCTGGAGAATCCTAATGTGACTCGATTTAAGAAGCTCTTCTTTCTCACGTACTTCGTTCACAGTAAGTGGGTCGGAGGCGGATGGGAACAAGCGGCGAAGCGGCTGCTAAGCGGATGCGACGTGGCTGCCAAGCAGTGGGAATACCAATTCCAAAACAAGTCGCCTAACTGAACGGTTATTTCAACATTTGTTCCGCCGCTCCACCGCTCCATCTGTGCTTCCTCCTTTTTGCAGACTCCGGCCCCGCCGAAAAGGCAGTCGAAATTATCTACGACCGATGCAGACGCAAGACGGACAAAATCGTACTGGGGTGCATACATGATTACGGAGGAACGAAGCAAAAAAACCTCATGGGCATTATAAGCAAAACCTGTAGGCCCAGGACAATCCCTATAAGGAAGATGGCCATTAGGAAAGTCATTAAAACGCTCATGTCTTCTTTGACTGACCCTGTCGATATTCTTAAAATCGCTGTGGACACTGCCACTCGATGTGATCACTTCAGCCGCAGTACGTCCATAGACATGGAGAAGAATAACAAGAAGGGAAAAAATGAAATTAACTATGATTTGTTTGTGAAGTCGGAGTTATCCTTCCGTTACATATGCGCCGACGTCACGAGTAAGTCTGCGTGCACCCTTCGGGGGGGAAGCCACATAGCAGTCATGCTACTTATCGCATCACAGTTGTGCTTCACCTACTCTCCTCACATGCTTCTCCCACTTCTCATGCGTGCTCCCTCCCACTGCTATCACAGAAAAATTGGTAAGAAGAATCATCAAGACCGTGTCTAGACTGAAGAACATGAACGAAGCCCAGGAGATAATCGAGCAGTCGCTGAACAGCCTGCAGTATCTGAAGATAAGAAACTACAAAGACAAGGAAAGCAGCACGAGCATTCTTTGTCCCTTCATGGAAGACAACGACAAGCATATTCGTGACTTGGAACGGAAGCAAATTTCGATCTTCGTGCTAAGTAAGGGTCGATGAATAGCGCAGTCCTCTGCGCAAATGGGCCCACTATCGGCGGTTACCACGAGGCGGTCACGACTAGACAGTCACGAACAACACTAACCCTACAACACTAACCGTACAGCACTCGCGGATCACTACTAACCGCTCGCCCGTCACTACTAACCGCTAACCACCCCTCCGTAGAAAACGTGGGCCTACTGAACATGCTGAAGGGGAAGATTGCCAACGTTTTCAAGAAGACTATCAACGTCGGGGAAGGTGAGGACATGGATGCATGCATACAAAGTGTGGACGTACGTGCGTGTCTCTCCCTCTGCAGGAGCACATTCTTTTTCACTCTCCCCCTTCTGCAGGCATGAAAACGGACAGCCCCATTTCGATCAAAGTTGGAAGTAATCTTTCAAGAGAGAACAGAAGAGACGCTGACCGTGCGGAGCTCTGTCTGCCCAGGGCCAAAGCATTTTAATATTATCATTACTATTACTACTATTACTATTATGTTTTTTTTTTTTTTTTTTTTTCTTCTTTCAGTGCGAAAATTCAACGGGTTTATCTTTACGGGAGGTAACGCCAGAGCGAGCACAGTGCTTGATCGTGTGCTGTGGGGGGACCCTACAGGCATCACGTCATCGAGCCATCGTCTTGTCGCATCACCGATTCATCGCGTCACCGATTCATCGCGTCACCGATTCATCGCGTCACCGATTCATCGCTTCACCGATTCATCGCGTCACCGATTCATCGCGTCACCGATTCATCGCGTCACCGATTCATCGCATCACCGATTCACAGGATTCCAACTAAACGTGGACAAAATTGATCGTACGGACTGAATGGAACTGCTTGGAGATGCTCCCAAAATGGGAGGGTGGTTTGCGTGGACATGCCACCTTTGTGTGAATTCCCCTGCACGTGTTAATCTTTTCTCCTTGTTTTTCTTTTCTTTGTTTTTCGTTTCTTTATTTTCTTTTTCTTTTGTTTGTTTTTTTTTCTTTTCATCTGATCCCTTCCTTCCCCCTCCCCTTGTTAGAAGAAAACGAACTACACATTGGGCTGTCCAAATCGAGTAGGTTTCGCCTCCCCCGTAGGAGACTGCTGCATGGGGACATGCACGTAGACACTCACATAGACAGATAGACACGCGCGTAGCGACCCACAAGATCATTTATCTACTCACTCACGTGTGGCCTCCTCATTTTTGGACTTCCTCACCTGTGCCTCCTTCTACCCCTGCGCAGGGAAGGTCTACAATGGAAAACAGTTTGTCGACGAGTTAGAGATCCTGAGGCAAGATGGTATGGAAGAGCTTCATAAAGAGTCCAGTCAGTCCAAGGGGGTGACTTGCCCACATCCCATCTTGTGCTCTCATTTGACTGGAACATGGAACCCATTTTCATTCTCCCACGTGCACCTGCATCCACGAGTGTTCCCTACTGCGAACCTTCCTTACCTCGAACCCTCTCTTCAGGCATCAAACGGATCGAAATGAAAGGAATCGACGAGGACAACGAGAGTAACTACGCGAACATGAATGGGAGCACCGACAATGCTTTTAATTGCTTCTCTTTTTTGTTTGATTCTTTTTCCATTCGTCTTCCTGTATGTATGTTTGCCTGTATGGCTTTCCTTACCACCAACACCCCCTCTCCCTGTAGGGTTTTACGTCCTGAATGATAACAAGAAAGTCTCTGAATTTGATTACGCCATCCTTTACCCTGGCGGTGAGATTCAAACTGTGAAGCGAGGGGGGGGAGAACAACGCACATGCCACTCCCCCCCTTCCAAAAGCGTTGCTCCGCTACCCCAGATCGATGAGCAACCCGAAACGTATTCGCACATGTCTGCATGCATTTGTGGAGTTTTCCCCCCTTCCCCCCGCCTTATGCCCCCCCTTTTTTTCTCTCTCCGCAGCGGACATCATCATTTTTGACGGACACAACTACCTCTCTTCTTCCGCCCTTCGGGGTATGGGCCTGGAATATGAAAGTAGGGCATCGGGCGAAGTGGTTTAGTCAGTGGAGCCGCTGCATTCCGTTTTCTCTTCCCTTCCCAGATCACACCCTGCGTAAACCACGCCCTCTTCACCCCCTTCACCCCCATCCGCAGGAATCGTCTGGGCCGGACACTCAGTGGGTTGGGTGGCAGAGTTCGCCCTTGGAAGCGTATCGGAAAATCCACGTAACTTTCGCAAAAAAAAAAAAAAAGAGAAAAATGTTTCCACTGTGTGGACAGCCCATATGTGTAGAGAGCTACCTTCAAAGGAGACGACTCGGTGATGTTGACTTTGGAACAAATTATTTTTTTTTTTATTTTATTTTATTTTTTTTTTTTTTTTCTTTTTTCTCTTTCCCTTTTTGCGCAGTCCCCATTTTCGATGGCAACGCGTGGGTGCTACTGGACAAGTTGAGCGTCAAGAGCATTTTAGGTGAGGAGAGGGTTCTGTTGGCCATTCGTTTGGCTATTCGTTTGGCCGTTCCGCTGGGCCGGTTGGTTCTACATTTGCCGCCGAACGATTAACCGCTTCTTCCATCCCATCCGCAGGCGAGTTTCTACCAAGGGACGTGCGCGGCAGCCTTCTCTCGAGCCAGGTCAACTTCGTGATCCTGAACAAGGAAGGGCGCCAGATCTTAAAAAACACCACACGTAAGAGGAAGAGCCAGTGGAGGGGCTACCGCAGGAGCGACTGGAGAAGCGGCTCTCCCCGTGGCACCTCGCTCATCAGTGCGCACTATATTGTGATGTTTCTAAACGTGTGTGTCCTTACACAACGGTACCCCCCCCCCCGCAGCGGTCGTGAATCTGAAGCACGCCACCTTCACCCTGAGCGGAATATTAAACTTCATCATCCGGGCCGAAAAGGGAAAAGGGAACGAAATTATTGTGTACACAAGGATACCATAAGGTACGGAAGGGTCCCTCGCCCCGACGAAGGAACGAACGAGGGAACGAAGGAACCAGGCAGCCAACCAACCAACTCTGGGAGATGCACACATCGAGATCGGGGTAATCGATAGAACGGATCACCTCCATGGCCCAGAGAAAAGAAGTTCCGGTGAAGCACTCAGGGGGCTTCCCCCTCCACCGCAGTTTCGACTTGGAATAAATGTTTCTTCCCAGGACAGAGGCACCTCTTCGTGAGGGGGTGTATATGCTTCCTACGTACGTGTGGACAGTGTCCTATCCGCCGAGTGTTGTTCTTTTGCTTCAGCTTCGGTGCTTCGGCATTTGGATATCTCGTTTTTTCGCTTTGTCGTTTTTTTGTTTTTTTTTGTTTCTTTTTTTATTTTTTTCGTTTTTTTGTTTCTTTTTCTTTATTTTTTAAGTTTTAGTTTTTGACCCCTCGGGGCGAAGCCGTCCCGCATTTTTCTCCTCCGTTTGTTATTGCGCTTTTTCTTTGCATTTCCTTTTCCTTTTTTTTTCTTTTTTTTCCGCTTTAGCGAACACTGTGCGTTCCCGTTAACGTCCGCCCTTTTTGGCAACTGGCACTTGTCACTTTTTTTTTTTTGTACAAACTGCCTCTCCGTGGGACCATTTTCATTGGCTGTGCGTCCGCGCCGGCGCCCGCCGCGTCTTTTTGTGTTTCCCCCATCTCCCCCCCGCTGAGGGACAAAACAGTGACGCCAAGTGTGAAGTGTCGCCAGTGCCAATTAGCGAAGAGGCCAAGTAGCCTCCTCAGTGAAGCCATGAATAAATAATTTGGATCATGCCACCCCTTGTGCCTGCCTACCGTAGGTCAGTAAAGTTTCGCCGGGTCCCTACTGGACAGGCATTTTTTTCCGTTCCTGCGCAGGTAGATCGTTGCACGCACATTTGTGTACTTACCTCGCTGTAAGTGGTACTCATGGACGTACCTCCGAGGGGTCACTCTTCTTCGGCGCAACAATCTTTACTCCACGTACTTAGCATTATGCCAATACGGTGATGTGTTTTTTTTTTTTCTTCTTTTTTTCTCTCCCATGTGTATATATTTACCCAGTTGTCCATTTTTTTGTTTTTTTTTTTTTTTTTTTTTTCCGAACTGGAAATAACCGTTGCATTTTTTTCAGCTGCTTGGCTAGTCCAGTGCGGACATTCCATTTTGTTCTTTTTTGTCTTCTTCTCCTGCGCGGTTGATTTGCACACACGCGAAGGAAAAGGGGGGAAATCGTGAAAAAATGTAAAAGTTGAAAAAAATTGGTCTTTCCCGCATGCGCGTTTTTCGTTGTTCTGACGTAGGTGTGTACTGGCCGATGCGCAAGTAGAAATGGACGATTTTTTTTTTTTTTTTTTTTTTTTTTTTTTTTTCCACCACGTTTAACCACACCTTGTGGCATGCGCCCCCTGGTGTGCACGTGACTATCTTGTCTGCACTTCGTCCCACCATGGAGGTTTCTCTTGCACTGCACCTGCCACTCCATTTCGCAATTCTATTGTAACGCCTTCTACATCTTCACCGGATACATTTCCATCGGTCACGTTTTTACCTCCCCCCCCCATGTTGGAGGTCCAAACACAGGGAGCCACGTAACTAGTTGAGGCGAAGGAGAAGGGGAAAATGCACACAGGACACCACGGACCTCGCGAGAGATTTCGCTGCCCATTCCTCCACTGACATCGCCACTGCTGTCACTGCCCCAGATGAGCGCGAAGCCTCCCCCACCGCTGCTCAAAAAGGGGGGGCCGCCTCCCCTCAAATCGGTGAAGCCCTTTCCCAAACCCTTCCTCAACCCTGCCTTCCTCGTGAAGCACAAGGGGAAGCTACCAGGTACCGGCAAGTGAAGCTTCTCTGCCTATGCATGTGGGACACACATGACGCCTCGTCCATGTCAGCCCCGGTACCTACCCACATGATGCTTCGTCCATGGCAAATCTCTCTTCATCTCTTCCTCTGTTCCCCCCCTCAGCGGTACTCCAGAAAGGAAAATCAGACGAGACAGTGGATGGTGGACAGAATGGACAGGGCAGTGAGGATCCCCCGAAAGCGAAAACAATGGAATCAAAATTTAAGGCAATCAAGCCGAAAATAAAGGTTCCCGAATCGAAGTTTAAGATGATGGGTGGGAAGCCAAAGGTAATGCCTCCTCCCAAGGTTACCCTGGTTGGCGGTAAAGCGGCAGCGCTTGGTGCGGCTGCACTTAACGCCGCTGCACATAGCGGCTCTGAATCGGAGGAAATGCCTCCAAAAGGAGCGGACCCCACCCTGAGGGCAGCCAAGTCGTTGAAGTCGAGCAGTACGATGAAGTCAACCAAGTCAATAAAATCGGGGACGTTAAAATTCGATAAGGCACCCAAGGGGGCGAAGCCAAAATGGAAGATCCCCCATCCGAAGCTCAAAGGATTAGGAGAGAAGGCTAATCCGGCAAGGGGGGAGAGTGAAAGGAACTCCCGCACTGTGGGATTGACTTACCAAGCGGGGGTAGAAGCAGCTGGAAGTGTGCAAGAAGGGGAGAATGAAGGAGAGCAGAAAAGGGAGCAGCAAAGGGAGAACGACGCGGAGAAAGAAGCGTATCAGACAGAGTTAACGTTAAGAGGAGGCAAATCGAATGATAATGGCACCCTCGGGGCAAGGGACGAAACAGGCAGAATCAACAGGATGCTGCACATGAGCAAGTATCTTGACACAAGAAACGTTGTCCATCAGTTGAGAGGTCAAGGGGTGAATGCAGCGCAGATAGTGAAGACAAAAGGGGGGGGTGAAAACAGTGCTTCTTCCCCTGGGGCAGTTGGGAAAGGAAATCTCCCCCCACCTTCCTTTGCGAAGGATGCGAAAAAGGAATCCTATTCGTTCGCTAAACAGGAGAACGTGGAGGTGATGCACAAGTACAGTGTGTCCATCTCGGATGAAGTAACCGAAGGGGGTGTTGGCAAGCTCAAGGAGGTCCCTAAAAAGGGCATTCCTCAGAAGGGGTTACCCACGAAGGGGATACCTCTAAAGGGATCGCTGACAAAAGGACCGCTGGAAAAAGGACCGCTAGCAAAAGGGTCGCTGCCAAACGGACCGCTGACAAAGGGGCCACCTCTGAGCAGCCCCGTGAAGGCCCCCAATGGAGGGGAACCAAGCAGACCAGGAGATTCACATGGACGTACGGACACGCATGCAATGACAGATGCACCGACAGGAGCAACGACACTGGGACATGGAAACAACGTGATGATTGGCATCTCCGATGCAGCGTGCAGACAGACGGTTGGCCCCCTATCGACTTCCAAAACGAGTACACTTGTTCGGGACACCCATTACATAAATGCATTCTCCAGGATGGACGGAAATTACATCGGTAAGGTTACTGGGCCAGCAACACCAATTGATTATTACGATAAGAAACCTCAGTATCGTGCTGGAAAAAAAGGCTCGGAGCAGATGACACAAAGTGAAAGGATACCAGTTGGTGTGTTTCCCCCGGCAGTCACATCTGGAGAAGGTCCCTTCAGTGGAAGCTTCATGCCTGTGTGTTATTACAACAATGATGTGTTTGAAGGTGGGATGGGGAATGGCTGCTCAATGTTTTTCCCTCCGGGCTGGTATTACGTCCCGATGGGTAGGTATCGCGACTCGGTGGGAGGGGGAGCGGTAGGAGTAGGAGCGGCCGTAGGAGTAGGAGCGGCCGTAGGAGTAGGAGCAGCCGTAGGAGTAGGAGCAGCCGTAGGAGTAAGCCAACTGGACGGAGAAGAGCTCACCACAAAGGGGGAACAAAATGAGAGGAAAAATGAGAAGACGAAGAAGAGGGACAACGGAGGAGGTAAAAAAACAGGGGGACGAGAAAGAAAGAAAAGTGATACGCTGGTCGCCGCTGGACATTTGAAGCCGTTGCAGTTTAGGGAGGGAGTAGAATGGAATAGCGACGATGAGAAGTATCTCAATGCAAATGTGTCCATGGAGAAGGAGCGGCAGGAGAGGACAAAGAAGAACAGGAGGAAGAGTCGGGACAAGGGGGCCGGCAGCTCCATTGGGGATTCCAAGTGGTACGAAATTGAGCGCCGCCTGAACAACTGCCGGGGGGTCATCCAGGAGAGCGACTGGGAAGGGGAGGAAGAGGAGGAAGAGGAGGAAGTGGAACGGGAATACGATTCATACGAGCCATACGAGCAATATGGGAAAAACGGAGCGGACCGTGGCTACTACCTCGACAGCAGCGACGGGGACGGCACAAACAGCTGCGATGAGGACACGAAGTACATCCACGGGGTGGGAAGTGAGTACCACTACGAGGGGAACACCGAATGTGGGGAGAGCGAGGGGGAAGCGGGGGAAGAGTACCCAAACGGACGTCGAAGGAATGACCTCACAAAAGACAGACGTCGGAGGAACCTCCGAGAGAGACACTCCTTGGAAGAAAGCTCCTCCTTCGATTGCGACGACATTTATAAGAATTACAAAATAGGGTACCTTCGGGAGCGTCTCAAGTGGGCCAATGAGTATCTGCGCAGGGGGGGAAAAAAGGACCCCCCTGAGAAGGACCCACGTAAGAGGAACACCCCTACGAAGGACACCCTTATGAAGGACACCCTTACGAAGAACACCCACGCGAAGCACAAAGAACGCCTAGACGACATCGCTCACCTATTCCTCCCCAAGAACAAGAGGCACGAAAACATATTCGATCTGTCTCTAAATTTCTCCAAAATCTCAGATAGCGACAAAGACGACATAATTAGCATGCTTTTCTCGTGCAGACAGTTGGAGAAGCTAATTGAAGAACAACACTGCGTGCTTGATATGCTGGACAATGACTTAAGGGAGGTGAACGCATCGCTGAAGTTGCCACCCACGTGGAATAACTTCAACCACTTCGAGGTGCTCCAAGAGAGTATCCTAAATTCAGAAAACAATGAAGGGCTACCCCTTAACAACACTCCTTTTTTTATTAAGGGGAAGGTGGCTTTGATTCCTAAAAATTTGGACACCTTCTTCGAGAAACCTTTGGTGGGGGAGAAAGGGTCGGGAGTGGACAAGGGGTGGGAAGTAACGGACGTCCCGAACGCTTCCGGATCCTCTGCGTATTCGAAGCCCGTGGGCACCCCCTTGACCAGCAAGTATATGCCCAAGTTGGCCAAGGCCAAGGTGAAGCCGAAGGTGTCGCTGTTGTTGAAGAAAGGGGCGTGACCACCGTTGCAGTGGTTCAGGGGAGCAACGTTTCGAAATCGCTGCGTTGCGAAATAGCGACGTTTAGAAATAGCGGCCTTGCGGAGGGTGCCATTTCGGCACGAGTGTCCCTTTAACGTCCATTTATGTCTCTCATTTGAGGACCTTCAGGGGGGCCCTTAAATGTTTCTGCCGGGGCGGAAAGGAAATTGGTCCTCCGCCAGGTTGTTGGAGAATTCGTTCCTGGCTTTCCCGTTTGTATGTTTGTTTGTACGTATGTTTGTACGTATGTTTGTATGTACGTTTGTATATTTGACTGTCTGCTTTTTTTTTTTTTTTTTCCAGGGGCGGAGTGACACTCCCCTGTTTGGCCCCTAGCGGGACAAACGTAAAAAAAAAAAAAAAAGAAAATTCCGAATTTTCAAAACGGCCAAAAAGAGATGAAGCACCCGAATGTCTGTGCAGTAACTCATTTTTCTCCATTTAGATAAATGGGGGGTGAAGGAGTCAGAGGGGTAAGCTTCAACCTCTGAAGAGTGCTTCGCACAAATGATGCAACCATATCAAGGTGCAAAAGGGATTCCTATTACTTCGATGGGATGGACATTCTTCCTCCATCTCTGTCTTTTTTGCGCCTCATCCAGGGGGCCACTTCATTTGCCGTTTGGCCAAGATATGCAGATGCAGGTAGTATATCGACTGACAGGCCTCGGGCCCATTGTTCACAACCAGGCGGAAATCTCCCAGGTTGTTCTTCCTCACGATTTCGGAAACCTTCCAGGGGGGTGGGGGGTAAGTGGGGCGTCGTCAGGTGGAGACAATAGGGGGGAAGGAACGACACGGAGGGACTAGACAGAGGAACAACACGGAGGGACTAGACATAGGAACAACACTGGGAAACCACACTGAGAAACCACACTGACAGATCGCACGGAGAAACCACACGGGGTGAGGGGTTTGTCCCCCCCCTAGTGCATTGCTGCGCGTTATCTTACCGCCCACATCATGTGCCCCAGGATGTCTTTGTGCCTCTCCTCCGCCTTGCTGAGCCTCGTTAGCCCGTCCCTCATTTTGGGGATCACAAGGATGTGCACGGGTGCCTGCGGGTTGATGTCGTTAAAGGCGAGGACCTGTAGGGGGGGAAGCGGTAAAGAAGAAATGACGAAATGGCGAGATGGAGAAAGGGGGATGGCCCGTGAGGAGGGGGGCAGCGGCGATGCGCCGTAACGCGGACGTGGCGGCTGCCATAGCGAACATAGATGCAACGTAGGGGGGAATATACCTTGTCGTCTTCGTACACCAGATCCACCTTCACTTCTTTCCTGGCGATTTTTCCTGCAGCGTACGTAGCGGGGTGATCGGACATTTAAGGCGATATGACCGCTCAGTTCAAGCGGCGTCGTCGTGTTAGCATTCCCCTCGCCCTGGGGGGCTTACCAAATATTGAGTCGCCGTTTTCGTCCTTCCCCGCGGCCGCAAGGGCTCTCTCTTCCTCGTCCGCCATTTTTCCCAGCCGTCTGTTTATAGCTCGTCTGCAGGGGGGGGTGGGGGCCATGTGAGAAAGGCACCAGGTGTGAACATCGAATTGGGACAGAAGCTGCATATGTTAAACACGTCATGGTAGTACCAACAAGGGGAAGCCCCTTTATCAGTGGTGTCCCGAGTGTTGAAATGAAGACACATATGGTCTCCACTGGCATGTTAAGCAATATTGTCCTCTCTCCGTGCGAGCCTTACGTAAGGAACCTGTTCTTGTAGGCTAGTTTGGTGCAACAATTAAAGGCCAAATTTCGAATTCTGCATCCGATGGATCCCCCGGAGGTACTCATAAAGGAAAGAAGAACTGCACAGGGTGGAGGGGGGGACAGGGAACATGGCCGATGCAAACATAAGCGACGTGAAGATGGGCCATGCGAAGATGGGCACACACGTGGCTCGCTGGAGGGACTATACTATCATGGACGCTGTCACTCCGGATAGGAGGTCAGCCCGTTTGGGTTTCCCGGCTGGCTTCTTCCCCCGTCTCTCCACCTCGTAACAAATAGAAAGAGGTTCCCTTACGGAAGCATAAAAGCAGATGAATGAACTTCATTAGCTGCGGGATCCGGCGTACGAGTGGGACGACGAGCGCTGGAGTGTAGTATCTGTCAGGTGTCGGGGAATCACTACATTAGGTGCTTCTCCTTACCCTTGCGCGGTTGCGCTGTTGGGCAGTTGTGAGTTCTCTTTTTTCTTTTTTTTTTGTATTTGTTTTTTTTTTTACCATTTGTTCCCTCTTCCTTGTTGCTTTTCCGTGCCGCCTTTGCCACCCCCAGGACAGTATTGCACTAGCGCACTGCATGAGAACATTCCGTGGCCGTATCGCATGAATGCATCGCACGAGTGAATTGCACCTGGCGCGGGGACAGGGCGGCTCGAAGAACTCTCCACTCGGCTGCGACTGCTTGCTCGTCCTTGCGGCTGCACTTTGCACGTTAGCAGTACAGAGGGGAAATAGCCCATCTTTTATGGAAACACACAACGCATGGTTACCCCGCTCATCTGTGCATCAGCTCATTGGGGGAAGGTTTCTCCCGTTGCGGATGCGATCGGAAGGACAGCGGGGGAGAGAGTTGGCTTAATGGTTGGCGATGAGTGGACACTAACACGGAAGGGCGATCAGCGACGGTTGCGTGATCTGTACCCGTTTGGATCACAAGATTGACGACACACTTGTTTGCTCTTTCTTCTCCCTCCCCCGTTTTTCACCAAATGGCAGCAACGGAAGCAGCGGTAGTAACGAAAGTAGCGGCAGTAACGAAAGCAGCGGCAGTAACGGCCGCAGTAGCAGCAATGGCAACAGTGGCAGCCGCGCAGGCGAGTCGGGCGCCACGACTGAAGCGCTCTCTCTGTGTGAAGTACGTAACGTTTTTAAGTTACGCAAAAAAAATTCGTCTGAAGGGACCCTGGGACAGGTACTACGGCTGTCTGTTTCGGACAACAGGACCAGCCGTGACGTCCATGAGGGGGCTGATGGGAACGGTTGTTAAGCCCCATGGAGGAGGGATGCCCCATAGAAGAAGGCTACCTCATGGAGGAGGGCTGCCCCATAGAAGAAGGCTACCTCATGGAGGAGGGCTGCCCCATGGAGAAAGGCTACCTCATGGAAGAAGGCTGCCCCATGGAGAAAGGCTACCTCATGGAAGAAGGCTACCTCGAAACAAGGACCTCCTGTTCGCTACGCTGCTACGTCATATACTCTCCAAGCCAGTAAAAATCGCCTCCTTCGATTTGGATGGCACGCTGGTTAACCCCACAGGAGATAAGCACCCTAACAGTGTCATATTGAGTAGGGAAGCAATACAAAGCATCATTGTCTTAAGGAAGATACACCAATACAAGGTCGTCATTTTCTCCAATCAGACGAGTGTCTCTTCCCCCTTGTATGACTGTGCCCACGTAGAGCGGAACAAGCTCCCGCTGCTCTTCTCAAAGATGGCGAAGTTAGCAGAAACCCTCCGATATTTTTACGCTCTTTATGGGAGTGACCTGGGGGTGCAACTGAATAGAGATACGTACCCTTCGATGGAGGGCCGACGTGGGAGAGGCCCCCCCGCTGACACCCCAATTATTGGCGCTGCTCAGAGGAACAACTTCCCGGTGAGCGCCTTCTTTGCAGTGGGGAAAGGCAATATCGAAGCGTTAGATATGTATCCGAAGCCCAGCGAGGGACAGTACTGCCTCTTTATCTGCCTGGAGGGAGTCAAATATGCCCTCCTAGTAATGAGTTATTTTGCAAAAAGGCATAGGACCCTACTGGAGAGGGAAGTAATCAGACAGAAAGACAAACCTTTGGGAGACTTCCTCCAACTTGTACTCGACATGCTCAGCAATGACTATTTACGTGCCCTAGTGAAGAAGCTTCGGAGGGGGTTCTTTCACCTGAAAAAGGTCAGCTTACTCGTGCTGGATGTCTACATAAATGGCCTGTTGCAGAAAATGGAGTCGTACACTCGGTTTGGGAGGGACCACCCGGGGTATGCGGCGCACGTGGAGTTCTTTCTGAGGGACGTGGAGTGGGGTAGATATGTTGGCAATGATAGCGAGGGTGGCGAAGGTGACGGTGATGACCGTACTGACCCTGTTGGCGCGCCCCCTTCCCCTGAGCTGCTGCGCGATGATGTTTTTTTGTCCCACCTCACCCGATGCCTGGCGCGGAAAAACGAAATCATGAAGCGCCTCGCCGCCACCTTCTCCAGTGTGCTCCTCAATTCTCAGGAGAGCTTCTACGCGGGGGACAACGTCGGCCGGGATTTCGACAAATCGGACGTGGATTTGCAGGTAGGTTCGAGCAGAGGCACGGGAAGAGGCGGCGTGTTTCGGCTGCCCATACCCGTGTGGATGTGCCTTCACCCATAAGGACACACATAAGCAGACGCATATGTACATTCATATGTTCACTCATATATAGACTCCTTCGTGTCCTTTTTTTCCGCCTCAGTTTGCCGTACGGGCTGGGATGAGACTCCTAGATGATGGCCAGGTACGCGAGTTGGGTAGCCCCAAACAGTGAGGCGGAAGGGCCCCGCACCTTTTGCTTCCCATATGTTTGCGCGTGTGCGTTCGCTTTTGCGTTTGCTTTTACATTCGCTTTTACGTCCCCTTGTACGTCCTCTTGTTATTTTATTTATTTTTCCCCCCTTTCCATTGTGTTGTCCGTTTTGTTTCTCATCAACTTGTGATGATACTGAACCAATTGGCAAAGTTATCCACGGGGGAACAAGTGCGTGATTGAATTCGGGTGGGTGGCCGACGAACGTGGGAGCAGCACAAACGGGGAAGTATACAGAAGAAGGCCCTCATGGGGGATGTATGTACAGATTGGGGGTTGCTTCGACAGAATTTTCATCGTTCTTTTTACTGTCCCTTTCACAACGGAGTGTCTGTCCCATTTATGAGGCATGCAAGAAACAGCGTGGGCTGAGCAACACTTTTTTTGCCGTTTCCGTCGCGTCCCACCTGCGTGAATGCCCGTTTAAAGCGGCACCAGCTAGCGAAGGCATATTCAGATATAGATTCAGATATACACGTAACGCAAATGCTGTTTGGTCATTCTGTTTTCGCCGTGGAGGTTAAAGCGTCTCCCACGCAGTTCTGTGAGAAAAGGAGAAAGGGGAAAGCAGCCAAGTCAGTCACTCCTTTAAGTCCCACGCGTTGCGATTCAGCAAAACGAGAAGAGGCGAAAAGGAAGCGAAAAGGAAGTGAAAATAAATTGAAAGCTAAAGCGAAAGAAAAAAGAATTTTGCTATCTTCTCATTTTGCCACCTTGTCATTTTACTATTTTTTTCCTTTCTCATTTCTATACATTTTTTTTTTTTTTTTTTGCTGCATGCAGGGCAGCTGCTCCGCGCATTCTATTTCTTCATAACATGCACGTTCTGGCTTCCTCCTTTTTTTGTTGCGCTCGTCCCGTTCACTGCTTAACGTTTGCCTTCACTTGGACGTTCACCACTTTGACGTTCACTTTTACGTTAAATTTGGCACAATTCTGCTTCCTAGTGCTTCTTAATTTTATTTGCGCTTCCGTGCTGACTTAACCTTTTGTAGGATTTTTCTTTTTTTTTTTTTCTTCTTCTTGTGAGTCATTTTACCATCCGAGCATGCGACTTCACCAAGTGACGTGACGTCGTTCTTGCCTTCGCCTCGTTTGTCACGCTTCCCCATTTTTTGGAAGCCTCAATGAGAGTTTCCTCCATCACGTATATGGCACGTCCCACCTGCCTTGAAACCTGCGTGAAGATGCCAATGTGATGAAGAATCAGGCAAAAAGGAGGGTTAAGAATTTCCCTTTTTCTTTTTTGTAAAGGGGGACACATCCAGGAGGGTAGCATTACGAGTGAAGTGAACCAGTGTGAGGAGGTGCCACCTCCAGATGCCACCTGGAGGAGACGCCCCTTCATGTCGCCTCTGCGCACTTCTCCCATTGAGAGGAGGACCAACGGAGGAGTGAGCCCAATTGAGTGGCAACCCGTCAGGGGGTGCAACGGAGCAATAGTTCAAGGGTGTAATGATGCAATGATTCAACGTTGTTTGGGGGAGAGAACCACATCCCGTTGTGCTTAATAGCTTTCTCTACATAGCTACGCAGCGCAACGTCACAGCTGATCGGATGTGTGCAGGCTACAGCAACCTCTTTCTCACACCCGTTCGCTCCCCTCACCCAGACACACAAACGCAAAGACAGTGCTATCTAACCGAAGAGAGGATTAAAAGAGGCCACCCCTGACGTGACCCTCTCCCCCTCCCCCCTGTTTGCCACCCCTTCTGAGTAGAATGAATAGGAACATTTTTAGGGTGAAGTGCGCGGGAAGGATGTACGCTCGCGCGCGTGGGCGGGGAGAGGCGAATGGAGGGAAAGCGGTGGAAGGGAAGGCGCATGAATGGAAAGGGGTGGAAGGCGGTTCTCCCTTGGTAGGCACACCCGGTCCTGGAGTGGCCCCCCCCCCTAGCGAGGACAACTCGTGTAGTCCCCCACACACACGGGAAAGAGGAATGATCTTCCCATTTATGAGCAGCCACATCAGAAATTCACTTTTCGCACCCCACATGAGGAAATACAGAGGTGGGAAGATCAAACGGAATGAACTTCCTTCCCTAAGTGGCATGACTGAAAGGGGGAAAGGAGGACACAGGAGAAGATCCGCTGTGTACTACCCCATTGGAACTTCTTCCAGATCTGAGATAAATGAAATGCTCATTCTATTGAACAAGTACCAAAGGGATATGTCCTTTATGAAGTATCTTTTTGTGGCTAACTGTGTAATTATGGCGATTCTAATTTCGGGTTCTGTGCATCTACTTTGGGGTGATTCTATGAATAAATACATCTTAACCAAAATTGAGAAGCTACTTACCGAAGTGAAGAACTCATCCAAGACGCAGACAATCATGAAAGGAATCCTGAGTGATCTCCTATGCAGTGTAGTAAATGATGAGAAAAACAAGAATGCAACCAAGAAGTTTTTCTTGGATACCCTCCAAAATTCAAAGACAGAAATGGGAAGTGTATTCACAGATGTACTACAAACGGAGCATGTAAGGAACAGCCTTAAGAATGTCTTTCAGGAGGTTTCTAGTTATCTCAGCAGGAATGAGCAGATGCATATGAAAGTATACCACCTCCTGTCCCAGGCGATACACTTACCTATCGCTATAAACACGTCTAAGAGGTGGCTAAACAATCTTCTCAAATCAGAGAGCGTAACAAGCAATGTTAGAGAAGTCCTACGTAATGAGGTTTTTAAAAACGATCAGGTGGTTAACGATTCCGTATTGTTTGTTCAGAATGCCCTCCTCACTGCCTTGCAAGATAAGGAGACAAAGGAGGCGAGTAAGTTCTTCTTTGCTTCCATTCTTTCCAATCCGGAGTTTCAGCAACAGATTTCTGGGAATATATGGAAAATCGTCAAACTGGCTCTCTCCCCGAAGTGGATGACTTACGAGGGGGACGACTTGCAGGTGAAAGTGGGCCACCAGCCGCAGTGCCCATCGCGGAACACAGGGGAGGAGGAGGCCCCTCTGCACAACCCCCTCCTCGACGCAGGGAAGAGCCACCTGGGAACGATCAGCTGCGATGTTCACGACGGTGGCGGTGTTTTCAGCGACAGCGGTGTCAGTCACGTTGACGATGTTCGTCACATTAGTAATGTTCACCACGTTACCAGTATTCGCCTCAACAGCGATGACCTCGTGGAGGCCCATCCGCGAGAGGCGGTCCCGAATCGGGAGGAGCTTCTCCCCCTGGGGAGGAACAAGGGAAACGCGCCTAGTGGGGCAGCCCCCGTGGAGGGTTGCCAAATGGGAGAGGTTGCACTAGAAAAGAAGCAAGTCATGAGCGAAACAAAGCAAGATACGAACGAAAGGGAGCAAACTACAAACGAAGCGGAACAAGCTGCCAACGAAATGAGACATGTGATTAACCTCTTTGAGCGCGCACACATGTGTGACGGGCATGCCGACGTAACCGCGTGCAAGCAGACGTACACTGGGCAAGCGTTCCAAACTAACATGGCAGGGAACTTACGACATGTGGACACGCAACAGTTGGATGAGCTACGAAGCTTCCTCTTTCCACCCCACCCAAGTCAGAACAACTCCACCCCCATAAGTGGCATTTCTATCTCTAAATTTAAGAGCGTTAAGGAAGGGGCAGGTCATTTGGAAAGTTTGAGAACAGTTCACCGATTGAATGGTTCCTATTTTGCTAACAGGATTGAGCGAAGCGATGGCCACGGGGGTGGAGCCATCCCCCCAGGAACGGTACTTCCCGGCGAGGCACCTCTTGGAACGACGTCGCGCAGCGGTTCTGTGCCAGGCTCCGCTATGTCAAGCTCCGCTATTCGAAGCTCCCCTATGCCTAACTACTCACCAACTGACCATGCAATCACCCCCACGCGCGGAATCGCAGTGCGAGTGAAATTCTTCCTGCTGGACGCCTACAGGTTCTATGCGCAGAAGTATTACTTCTACTATTATTACGTGGAGCGGGTCAAGGCGGTTCTGCAGAAGGCGCTGGGGGTGAAGTTCTTTTGAGGACCTTCGGCGAAGCTGCGCCATTGCCCCATGTGCCCTGCTTCTCCGTCTATCACCGCGCGATGTACCTGCTTCTCTGTGTATCACCGCGCGATGTACCTCCTTCTCCGTGTATCACCGCGCGATGTACCTGCTTCTCTGTGTATCACTGCGCGATGTACCTGTTCCTCTGTGTGATGCCGCTCCCGCCTTTCCACACGGGGGAGAACCTACTTCCCCACGCAAAACGAATCCAGAATTTCATTTAGTATTCGCGTCTGGCTAAAGCGACCAATGATTCCATTGAGAGCCGCAACAGCTAGCTTTATTTCCTCCGCGATGATATCAAATGTTAGGAGATGGCGGTGCCGCTTTATAAACAGCAGGTGCTTCAATGCCCGCCGCAGGTGGGTCTTGTGTCTCTCGAATGGGAGAAACGCGGGGCAGTTCAAGTTAACTGGGTGCGATGTCTGCCACGTGGAAGGGTGGCCAAGCTGTTTTTCACGCGCCCCTTCGTGGTATCCTTCGCGGTATCCTTGGTGGTCTCCCCGGTAGTGTTCTTTGTGGTCTCCTTGGTGGTGTTCTTTGTGGTCTCCTTGGTGGGCTCCTCGCTGCTCTCCTGCGTACTCTCTCCCATGCCCGCTTCCACACCGCGTGTCCATCACCTCGTTGAGGCCCCTCAACAGCGCGTCCACGTTGTGCCCCTCCTTGGACGAAACGAAAAAAATGGTCTTCCACACATTTCGATAAATGCTTCGCAAAAGGCCATTTTGCAACTCCCTTTTTAGGATATCCTTTATGTTCCTCCTCACGTCCGCGTGCGTTTCATGAATGGCTAAATCGCACTTGTTCACGCAGATGATGAATTGGGGTAGAAGGGTTTCCTCTCCCGTGCCGAATCTCCTCCGTCTAACTTTAAATCTGCTGTCCAAAATGGAAAGGGCAAGTTTTAACTCCTCGGCATATTTCCTCACGTTCAGTACGATCAGCACGCATGTGCTTTTTCGCAGATATTTGAGCGTCTTCTTCACGCCCATGCGTTCGAGTGCCCTGTGCGGGGTGTTCTCTCCAAACGGGGCGTCCACACTGGGATGGTCCCTAGGTAGGAACTCCTCTCTGAGGACATCCGCGCTAACCCCCGCCGAGTCGCAAAAATTGTAGGATCTCCCCCCAACGCTGACTCCCTTCTGCACCACGTCAATGGTGCTCCCCTGAATCCTCGTCACGATGGAGACGTCACTACGACAAATACGATTCATTAAGGTGCTCTTCCCCGAATTCACCTGCCCGAAGAGAAGCACATCAAGGGGGTTACTTAAGTCTTCCACATTTGGCTTCATCAGAATTTTCCTAATGCTTTCAATTGCCTCGTTCAGATGGTGCTTCACGAATTTGTTGATGTTGCTTCTCTCCTCGTCAGAGGATAAGTGCTCATCCTCCAGATCGATTTTCACCTGTGCGTAGAGGAGAAGCTTCCTCATATTGTTTCGCAACGTCAAGTAGACCTTTCTTGCCTGTCCGTTCAAATAATTCAACGCAACTTTTTTCTGTTCCCTATTTTTGCACCAAAGTAACTCCTTCAATCCTTCCACCTGGAGTAAATTCATTTTCTCATTTAAGAAGGATCTTCTGGTGAATTCCCCTTTCATACTCATCCTTATTTTGTTAAAAAAAACATCATTTCTTGGGGTTAATAATTTGTTCCAAATTTCTTCTGAACATGTGCAGGTGAAATTTTCTTTTTTATCATTTTCCATATAGTACTTTTCTTTTTCACATTTCAATAAATTGCTAAAAAGGGCATTTAATTTCTCCATCTCGTCCATAATTTCAGTGACAATTAGAGGAGATCCATGACAGTATATCTCGACGACATCCTCTCCTGTGTACGATTTGGGACTCTTAAAAAAGGTATACATTATGTGATCTATCGGTTCGTAGCAGTTGCTGTATATTTCTCCGTAATACATTTTCCCCTCTTCGAGGTGTTTCCTTATCTTTATTACTTCGTCGAGGGTGTAGTCTGTTTTTTTCTTCCTCGCGCGACTGTCCGGGGGGGGTTCCCCATTTGGCTCGCCACATGGCTGACTGGTCTGCTCACCGTCTATATGACTGGTCTGCTCACCGTCTATATGACTGGTCTGCTCACCGTCTATATGACTGCTCCGCTCACCGTCTATCTGACGGCTCCCCTCACCGCCTATTTGACTACTCCTCTGAGCGCTTCTCCCCCCATGCAACAGCACCTCCAGCACGATCCTGCTCAGGGGGCCTGACATACGCACCACCGCTATCGCGCTCACGTCCCTGCCCGAGCTCAGCGCGTATATCGTGTCCCCCTCGCTCAGCATCCTCGCAAGGTACTCCTCCCGCAGGGCGGTACTGTCGATATTGGCGGTATTGGCCGTATTGGCCATATTGGCCGTATTGTCCATATTGATCGTATTGACCGTATTGATCGTATTGACCGTATTGACCGTATTGATCGTATTCACGACCGACGCGGCACCCGCGTCATTAGGGTCACCGCCCTCGGGCAGAACCCCCCTCGAGTCATTCACAGCGAAGCTTCCTCCCTTCCTCTTCCCACCATTACTCCAACTCGCTTTCCTCCCTCCAAGAAAACCATTCCTTCGGTAAAAGAAATCACTCCGCGGGATGAAGAAAACGAGAGCTTCTCTTCTGTGGCTACTTCTCTTCACACTCTTACAGGGACTAATAAGGTGAGTCACAAAAATGAACCCTATCAGTTTGGACAAAGTTACATGCATGGGGATTGGGCACCCACATAGAGTGGGCGTGGCGATGTCGACAGGGGGGGTGCCACTCGTCTGACAGGAAGGTGGCATGAAGGAGGCATGAAGCTGGCCTGACCCAACGAGCATACCTTCACGTGTGTAATGTAGTCACTCATGCGCTGCTTCGTCAAAATGGTATCACTCCCTTTTACCTGCGCAGAGGTGGTCAAAAAATGCGCCGTCCCCGACAAAAAAAAAAAAAAAAAAAAACCCCCCTTGGGGGGGAAGTTTTTCAAAATGGGGAAAAAAAAAAAAAAAAAAAAAAAAAAAAAAGAAGAAAGGGCTATGAGGCTGCAACGCCACCTCCCATTCGTCACTGCTGAGGGGTGGGGTGCCATGTGACGGTGCAGGTGGGTATGGCCACGCGGTGGCTGCTCTCGGCCGGAGAAATGAACGCGCAGTTTGGGTGAGCTTGGTCACGGACTTCGCTTCCCAACCGGCATGACCTCCCAACCGAGTGGACCTCCCTTGTGGGCTGCGCCAAGGCACCACTGCTAACGGCTAACTGCTTACCGCACCACAGCTAATGGCTAACCGCTGAGTGGTCACTCCAAGTCGAGGAGGAAAACGAAGCTGGCGTCCCCATCCGTTTGTACATTCAGGTAGTCGCGCTCCTTCACCTCGCCTCTCTCCACGAGCTGCGCGAAGGTGGCGTTGAGTCTCTGTTCGTAGCCCCTCCCCACAAGCCACCTGGACGAAGTGAACAAAATGGCAGACTCCGTCGAAATGCTGATTCGTTGGAGGCGGTACTCCCTCCTAATGTATGCAACAAACTGACTGAATGTGTCGCTTCGCTTAAAAACAACATGAATCCGTTTTCTTCTGCATATGATGCAATCTTCGTTCTTATATATCTTGTAATGGAGAAGGTAGAACCCCTTTTCTCCAACATAGAGTATGTCGCTGTAATCGTGTGTACGACTGGACAGATCGTGTCGTTTTCCTTTACGCATCTGCGAAGCGATAGTATGCATTTCAGATATCATTAGTGAAGATATCACCATTAACGTACTGATTGTCGTCGGGATTGTGTTCTGAACGATCTGTCTCGTTACGTGAGACTCCTCGTGGTCGATCTGAAATTGAGTAGCTCTCCTTTTGGCTTCCTCGTGAATCCACATCACATGGCTTCTATCATTCACGTTGAGCTTTTCTTTCCTGATTTGCTCAAATGATATGTGCATGGCGTGCAGGACGCATTGGGTGAAGTTCGTTGGTCTTCCCGCGATGGAGCACACTGGCACTGTTTCATCCGCGCCCCCGCGACCGTCCAGCTGGTCCCCATCGCCGTTTCCCCCCGTGGCGTAATTCCCCACGGTGCACTGCACGCAGGCGAAGTGGCTTCCCCGGTCTATTATCTTCACACTTCCCCGAAGACCCTCCACCCCTCCATCGATATAAATGACGTCCTTACGTAAAGTGAAAATCAAATCATTCAGGTATATCCTACTGCCTATGTTGTCTAGGCAGCCCATTACGAAATCGAATTTCTCAAAAAAGTTGGTGTTGAAAGATTCCACCTTTCGTACAAAGGAAGTGATACTGATGTGGGGGTACCTTTCCTTTACCTTCTCCTGAATCACCACTGCTTTGCTCCTTCCAAGGTCGTCACGTGTGAAAAAAAATTGTCTGCTCAAATTGCTCACTTCAACTGTGTCGTCATCCACGATGCTTATGTTTTTTACATCCTGATGTATCAGATTCTTCACGACTTCATTCCCCAGTCCTCCACAGCCTACCACCAGCACGTTGACTGCGTCCATGTTGTCTCTGTCTGTGTATCTCTGTGCGTGTGTGTCACCTCGGCCTCGGCTGACTTGCCCTCCCCCCAAACATATGTCCCATTTATTCCTAGATACTCCTCAAAATGGTCACTTTTTTTTTTTTTTTTTTTTTCTTTTTTCTTCTTTTGGAGGGAGTGGGGGAACTATCTAGACTCCTCTTCACCGCAGGGTTAAGGAGCCCTTCTGCTTTGACTCCCCCTTCTTGGGACGAATAAAAGTTGTGCCTCTTACCCCCCTGCGCATATTTTGCCCCTCTTGTAACGTTTGGGTACTTTCGGATGACCGTGCGGTGTGGCAATTGGTGCTGCTGCCGCTGCCGCCGATGCGGGGGGATGCCGATCCGCGGCCATCACACGTATGAGGCCTACAAAACGATCTGTGCGTTGCGCTCGCGCTGGTGGGATAGCCGTGTGCACCTCTACATGTCCCTATAAACGAGATTCTGATGTGTCATATCAGAGGCGGGGAGGCTATCCCGGGGATGCGAAGCGGGGAGTTCTTTTGGGCGGCTTTGCTACGACGGGGCGACTTCCACCACATCCATCGAATCCACCGCCTCCTGTCGGGGCTGCCCAATTGAGTGACCCTATATTATGCTGCATGCCCAGCTGAGATGTGCCCCACATTCCTCACTCGAACTATTGCAACGTGTATAGGATTGTAAACAAAATGATGATAGCTCCGGGGCTTGGAGTCCCCCGATGGAGAGTTAAACGTGTGTTAGTCGTAGAGAGGCAACTTTTTTTTTTTTTTTTTTTTCTTTTTCTTTTTTTTGCAACCACCAAGTAATCCGAAGG